TTTCTGCGTATTCTCACTCGGTTTGCGCATATGTGCGTTGGGACTGCCAGGTTTGTCGGCTGGGTTGTCAACAGTCCTGCTGTTGATGATAACGATGATATTCATCTACTTGGGGGCCAAGGACAACAGCGGGCTGGAGCACAAGCGAGCCGACGACGTGTTCATCATGTTCCGTGGCATGTGGCTGCTCATCATCCTCAACTGGTGCTGGGGCATCGACATGTACACGTGGACCAAGTATCGCGTCAGCTACGCGCTCATCTTCCTCTTCGACATGCGGTCCCACATTTCATGGCAGCAGGTTCAGCTCCTCTCTCCAGTGCCCCACATTTCTGGGTTCTGGGGCCTTTCCAGTACACTAACCGCAGCCCATCCGCAGGTGATGGAATCGGCCGCCGTGTTCACAGTCGCGTGGCTGCTGTTCGTGGTGTGTTATCTGCTCTCGGCCATCAGTCCGGTGCCGCTGGAGTGGATGGATGAAATCCCCTACCAGGTGTTCCCCGGCTGTCTTGGTCTACTCGTACGTTTCGTGTATCGTGTGATGCGTGCGTGCGTGCGTGCGTGCGTGCGGTGGCCTCTACCGGGTATGCTCACCTCAGAACCAACGCGCATGCCCATGCAGGTGGTCCTGGTGATGCTCGTTCAGCAGTCTACGTGCAAGTATTGGCTGATACGCCGGTACAGCTGACTCATGTTATTGGTTGTCGGGCTTGAAAGGCTGACTGACCTGGTGCGCCTCGCGCCCGAAATCATCAGAGTGTACAAGATCATAGTGTCGCCGGTGGTCGGGGTCGACAATTTTGTAGACATCTATCTCGCCTCGCAGTTGACCTCGCTGGTCATCTTTCTCCAGGTACGTGCCGCTTTTATATGTCCAAGCCGAGCGCGTTCGATTGACTTCTCCTTGATCCTTGCAGGATGTGCAATTTTCGGTCTGCTTCTTTGTGAGTGACGCATGGACCGGCGACGATATTTGCATGCGGTCCCGCCCTTACGCTATGCCTCTCATCGGTTTGCTATACCCCGCTCCAGCACGTGGTAGCGAAGTACCACTTCTTTTTCTCTAGAGTCTATTTACCACGTCTCTTCTCTTCTCTCTTCTCTCTTCAGCTGCCATACCATTTGTGCTTCGCTTCCTGCAATGCCTGCGCAAGTTCATAGGGTCGCGAGAGCGCTGGCACATTGTCAACGGTGGAAAGTACGCGCGCGCTACCCTCCGGTAGTGGCCCAATATATGAGGAGCTCACCTTGACCTTCATTTCTTCTCTCCTCCAACCCTCCCACCCAGATACCTGAGCTCCCTCGCTGTAATTATTTGTTCGTTCTTCCTCTACTTCTTTGGCCATCTGGCCTTGCTCGCTCCCTGGGTACGCGGCTCCCTCCCAGCCTTCTCCCCCTCCTGAGAACAATACGGGGGATCTGGTGCTGTCGCGTGTCACGGAAATGTATCAGAAATGTATTGGTGTAGTTGACTCTAGCCACGATGCTGTCCCGCATTGCAGATCGTCGCGGTCGTGGTGTCGGTGGGCTACAACTTCTATTTCGACGTGCGCTACGACTGGGGCCTGCTCGACGTGAAGTCCAGCAACTGGCTGCTCCGCAACAAGCTGATTTTTCCTCGCTGGGTACGTACCGCTGCCACTTCGGGCGTTTCCGGAAGGACGCATTCGCACCCCAGATGGCTCACACGTGTCGTGACCGCAGTGGTACTACGTGGCCATCGCGCTCAACCTGTTGGGTCGCTGCTCGTGGGCGCTCACCGTCTCGGCGTCCTTCTTCCCCACCACCAACATGATCTTTTCAACCATCATCGCCACGGTACGGCCGCGCGTGTCTCCATCTCTGGGCCTATCTCTTGCTGGCTAACAGGGGATTTCTTCGTCCTTCGTTCTTCGTTCTTCGTTCTTCCTTCGTCTTCGTTCTTCTTCATTCATTATTCTTTTTTGGACAGCTGGAAGTCCTGCGAAGGGGACTGGGCAACATTTTCCGCCTCGAAGACGAGCAACTGTCCTACACGGAAGTGCGCAGGGCGACGCGCGACGTCAAGGTAACCCTAACCTTTTGGCTCTCCGGCCTCCTCCCGATCCGCCTTCTTCGCTGTGTAGCAGCGCTAACTGTGGGCTATATCACTCAAAGCTGCCGTTGTCAGTGGGCAACAACGAGCAACTTGAGCTGTTGTTCCAGGACGAAACCGATGATCTCTAACCAGAGCGGCCACTTTGCAAGACTGCTTCACGCAGAAGCAAAGCAAAGGATAGCGAAGTGGCGAGGCCTACTTGTGAAAAAGCCTGTTGGCGTGTTTTTAACCCTAACCCTTGCAAGGTTTGTTTGTTCGTTCACCAATGAAGCGCAAGCGTGACGACGAGCTCCGTCCAACGCGCCAGCTGCGCTGGCCCCGATCCACCCTCGCCCTCGACGGCACCGTGCGCCTCCGTTGCCGACGCCCTGGGACTCTCAGGCCCACTTGGGAGCACAATGGCGCGCACAGCAGGAGCATCATCACGCACCAACTTTCCACTATGCTACCAGAGGTGTTTAGGTCCATCATGGAAGGAAGAGGAAGAAGTGGAGGAATTCTGGAATGAAGGACAGGTACCACGAGGAGGCGTGTGGATCAAATCCTTCCACGTGCGGGAGGCATCTGCAGAGCAGAGGCGGCCAGAACAAGCATGACCTCATCCAATCCATCACCAACCACTTCACCGCCAAGAAGAACCACCCCATCCATTTGATCATCATGCAAAACTCTCGCTACTGCTCAGATGGATGTTGTTGCAGACATGGTGGTGTCAGTGTGTTCCTCAACGTCGGCGTCATCATCATCGTCATCGTCTGCATGTTGCTCGTACTTGAACTCATCCGTGGGCGCGAGCGCACCAGTCTCCAGGCTGAGGACGTACTTCTCACTCCCGTCCTCCGTCCACAGGTGCACATTACGCCCATGTCCTGTCTGCAGAATACACTGCACCACCGTCACAGTAGCAATGCACGATTTGAAGGTGAGACCAGCAAGACGAAGAAGAGTCAACATGGAGAAGGGGAAGAGGAAGAGGAAGAGAAGAGGGTACTTGTTTCTCGAGTCCGTTGGGCAGCGACAGCGTGCCTTCGCCCTCGGAAGTGAAGCAGGAGCTGGAGCTGTACAAGTCACCGAGCCACCGTGAGCCATCTCGAAGTGTGAACGAGCTCTGGGGTGGTTGCCATGGAGGCGTTGGTTTATGGTTAGGATTGGTGGCGCACACATTTGCCACACACACAAAAGTGCCAGCAGAACAGCTCAGCGTGTGCACCTGGTAGCCTCTCATCATGTGGAGCTTGAAGAAACCCTTAAACTGCAGGCCACTGAGCCACTCCCTCTTTCCCAAGCTGAGTGGGAACGCATCGCGACCAAAAGTTCTATCACGACGCTCACACAGTCACAGTTGGCACACGTCGCCTGTGAATGCATCTCATCTCAAAGGGGGAGGTTATGTACCCCTGATGGACGTGTTGATCGTGGGCGCCCTTCCAACCGGTGTACTTGACTCCAGTTGTGGCGACTCCTTTGTAGATGAACCCCTCGATGAGACTTGGCCGATCTTCGAAGAAACAGACATAGCTGCGGCCATTACAGGTCTTTGTATGAGCACACTCCCGCCACCACCTCCACCTACGCCTCCGCCTCCGCCTTCGCCTCCACCCATGGTCATGCAGGCAAGCACACGACGCGATGAGGAG